TATTTTGTTGAAACACTTCTTTCCTGATGAGACCGGGATAGTTAATGTAAAAAGTTGGTCCTAGTTAGGGAATTGGAGAATGAACTTTTCAATATTTTAACTTAAATATTTAAACATTTATAAATATACATGTGCTCACCAAGTTTTGATTTGTACCAAACCCTTCTTATAGAGAATATAAAGTCTTACTTAACAAACTGCAAAGTATATCTGTACTTTGGGTGTAGGCAGTTTAGAATTAGTGAGCTACCAGTCCTTTGGACTAAACAGCTGCCGCCAACACAGGACACCATCTATATGGACAGGACTGATAAAGCATGCAGCCAAGAAATGCCCAATATGGCAACACTCATGCTAAGATGTGATGATGTCTAGAGTGGCCTGCCACAGACCGCCCCCCCCCACAGGTTACGTCCAAGGGTGTAACCAGTCACCAGAGTACTAAAAGACATATAAAAAGGGCATCTGCTGAGGACCCAGCAGAGTGCGCTTTCCACTGTCTTCTAATGCTTAGGAGCAACGTACTCCAGGACTCTCTCCTGCATGTGCCTCTCCTTGACAGAGGATCTCTTCCTCCTGAGTAAGACAGGTCTTGCCGTGTAGTAGCTCTCCCTCCTGAGCAGATCAAGTTCCTGGCAATCTCAACCTGAACAAATTGATTGCTTGGTGCGGCTTGCTTGTGGAACAGAAGCCTTACCTGCTGCTGTACTCTTAGAGGCAACTGACTGTGTGCTGTGACTCTCTCTTGGACCTTGTAAGTGTGCATTTGAAGTGTGAGTAAATGTTGCCTTGACCCAAGTGTCTGAGTGGTCTTTCAGGGACATTGAAGTGGTTTTGTTGCCTCTACCCTAAGTCTGCCTTGGGCAATATCCCAGTCCCACTGTAGGGATACTTGCCCTGGTTCAGGACATAGCTAACTTCTCCCTTGTGGAAAAGAGGATGAAGTCCTGTTCAAGACACTTCAGAGTCAAGACACTAATTGGTTCTGGGTCTAGGTTCTAGAATTTGGTACCTTATTTTTTTCATAACTACTTGGATACTGTAAGCTTACTATTTTTAAACTAGTATAAATAAACTCTTGGCAAAGCAACCAAAGTTCAGAATCCTTAGAAACAATAGAAGTTTTTATTGCTCTGAGCTTGAGTTTATTTAAAATTTAGTTAAATTATATAATCACAGTAGCCTGTCCCAGTGTTATGTAAATAGTATGGGAACAAACACAGGAGTGGGAATAGAATGTGGCAAATCTGAGAACAGCCTCCTGCCTGAGGGGACTTTGCCTCAGGCATCATTCATCCACTAGGGTGGGTGGTGTCAGTCACCTGGAGGAGCCAGTACATGGTGGAGGTCACTTAAAAGAGCCTCTGATTAAAAGGAAGCATCTATAGGGGAACACATTCTGCCCTGTAATCACTTGCATATAAAATGGCTACCTTATCCTCTGTAGCATTATTTTATTTTAAAGTTCTTAGTCTGTCAATATTGATAACTTACTTATAAGTAAAAAAAAAAAGGTGAAGTATAGTTTCTTGTTGTGTTTCTGAGCAGTGCCACTGTTTCAGAGGATAATATCACTTCTTTTCTATGTAGCAACTCTTTCTTTTTCTCATCTCTTTCATTGACTCTGCTCCATGTTGTCAGATTTGTTTCCAGGGATGCTTCAAACATTATTGTCTCCTCTTGAACATCTCAGGAAAAGATAATGTATATTTGTTAGTGATTTGCAATTATCATTGTTTATTTATAGACTTGATATTTTGTTTAATTCAGTATCCTGTTCTTCAGAATCACATTAAACTGCGTTCTTGCTATGATTTTAAAAAAAGGACATCTTAATTGCTTTTGTTTGAAAGTTCATTTTTTTTATAGGACCTGAATGATGTGATGTAAACATGAAATTGGTATATTCTGCCCTGTTCATTATTTTAAATACATCTATCATTTTCGTATCTCACATTATTTTCCTTGATTTCAAGTCATTTTCTTCTTGCTCTCAAAGAAAATAATTTTTGAAAATACTATTTAAGTTATTGTATAAGTCACTTTGGCTAATAATATCACTATAACAAATAGCCCTAAATTTTAGTAATTTATAGCAGTGAAGTTTTATTTATTTTGTGTGTGTGGGGGAAGGTGTACTGGGGATTGAAGTTAGACAAGTGCTGTATCACAACAATTTTATGTATTTATCTCGTTTTCAAGAAGGGTCTCAGAAACTTTTCCCAGGCTGGCCTGAACTCAGGATTCTCCTACCTCTGCCTCCTGAGTAAATGGGATTACAAACCTGAACTACCAAATCTGGCCAAAGTTTTATTACTTGATAACTCAAGTATGGGCTGCTAGCTAGAAGCCATGCTACTACCCACAGCTCAGTTGTACCTGGTGTCTGAAGGAACAGTCTTTATCAGGGACATGTGTTTCCCAGTGGGAAAGAAAGAGAACGGTGGTCAAAACATGTGAAGACCTTTATAACTTTCATGTGAACTTTACTGTGCTTCTATTCCCATTTCCTGGGTCAGTGCTTGTCACCTGGTCAAACCTGTTAGGAAAAGGCAGTTTAGAGTCATGTGGCAACTTGATGTAGTCCTCGTACAGGAGGGGAGTGAGTAAATTAGAATGCTTCATCTATGACAGTTATGTCCCATTTTAAGGACTTTTTTGTTTTATTGTTAGATTAGTATTATAGATACACTTTATGTGGAAATGGTTTTTTCTTGATTGCCAACTTTGTATATTGAGCTTTATAGAAATGACACTGCTATGCAGTTTGAGACTGATTCAGGGCTTTAGTAAAGAAGAGTTAGGGAAAGGATATTGAACATAAAATTCTTACTATTTCATTCTTCTTTTCTGCACCTTAATCATTTGTTTTCATTTGTCTTTTACTGCAATTAACTATTGAATAGCAATCCAATTTTTCCCCTAAATTGTTAATTTGTAAGTCCAAGAATTGTTTCAAAGATGACTTCCTTTTGCTTGGATTACCCGTTCGTCATTGTAGCTGGATAGTGTGGATTTTCACAGTTCACTACCTTTTCAATACAATGAATTGTGCCTGTGCCAATTGTACAATCATGGTTTCTCTTATATCGTCCACGTGTGGACAGCAGCCTGCCAACAAATAAACAAAAACCAAGTTAACTCAGACAAATGCAGCTGAAATACCAAAATACTCATGGCCTTTTCTAGAGTTATATTTATTTGCACACAGTGGAGATTAGTATTTCCTTGTGAAACAAGATAGAGTTACTGTTGCTATTCCTAACCCCCAATGCATGGGTTCATGAAATTTATCCTAATGAGGTATGGTACTTGAGAAGGGACAATGAGCTAATTGTCAGAGAAAGTTGAGGTTTATAAGTAATACAGGATGTTGAAGGGAAGGAATTTGCAATGTAGATTCATCTCCTAGACATGTAAGAGTAAATAGGGATAGAATCAGAAAGAATTAGCCTGGAAGGCATCTTGAGTTCATTTGGTCCTAACCAAAGTACATCAAATGATGGCTTACAAGACTGTAATGTAGAGGAGAGGCCTCTTAACCTAACAAGTTTGTGAATTCCAGCTTTTCATTTGCATCCTAGTTTAATATATTTCTCTTAATTCCATATGGATCTTTTTTATAGGAGGGCAAGTCTGAGAGAGAGAATGCTATGTATGTACTTTTTTTTTTTAGATTCACTAACTAGACTGTCCTAAAGATGAATTTATATCACTTGTGAAAGTGAAGGTTCATTTCTGAACCTGTCTCAGAAAAGATGAGATAATAAAGTTTAACTTCATCATTTTACAGATAAGATAGGAGTTCCAGGTGATAAGATTGTTGCCCAAAGTGATACAGCCTAAGTGACAAACCATAGCTAGAAGAGTAATCTTTAGACTCCTAACTAAACTTTCTTCTTACAATATACCACATCTAAATAGCTACTCTAGGAATACATTAATGACAGCTGTAGCTAGTCAGTGGAATAGAAGTTTCTCCTGTACATGAGACTGAGGCCACATAGTAAATAGGCTCCAAGTTTGGAGTATGATCAAAGGAAAAGAGAAAAAAAAAATTTGTATGTTACTGAGCAGTAAATAAAAAGAATAAAAAAAACTATAAGAGACCAAATTCTCTTCAGCTTTTAACCTTAACTGTATTTGATTGTATTAGGATCATTTGTAAAGTATGCAGTGAAATTGAAATTATAGCCACATAAATTAATTAATTCTTTTATATTCATGACTTAACCTTTGTAGTTTTTCTTATGGTGCCAGTCGTGGCACCATTTTAGTCTGGTTCTAGGATTTAGTATTTGTGTGATCTTTACAATTTCTTTATCACTTGGAGCTTCGAGGAACTGACCCAGAATAATTCCTCAACTATGTAAAAGAGAACAATTGTGGGTGCTGTCTTCTGGGGTCAGCCAGCTGTGCTGCCCTAGTTCTGGCTTCCCTTGTGATTGGCCCAAAGCCTAGAAAGGCATGTGCACCAGTTGATTCCAAGTGTGAGGTTTCCCTAGGATTTCCAGGTTCTTCAGCATTCGTCTTCTGTGTCTGTTATTTCAACCATGTCTGATTTCTGTCTTCCAGCATTTTCTTTAAAAAAATTATGTTGTTGGTGGTCCTTGTTTTTTTGTTTCTCCTTCTCTTTTCTGTAATTTTAGTGGGATTAGGAAGGCCAGAGAGGTAGGTTGCATAAGATGGCTTGGCCAGTACCTTGAACGTGCCAGATGTCTAGGCTTTCTGCTTATATTTAGTGTAGCTTCTGCGAAATTCTGAGGGACACAATTTACTTGCAGTTCTTCTGGTTTGTTTTGTTTGTATTTTACTTGCCAGGTGACAGACTATTGTCATCTTCCATTTTCAGTGTCCATATGAAATGGAGATATGGAAAATACAATATAACTTCATGGGGACATGGTACTCAGCATATTATGAAGTGTTTGTTTTTTTATTTCTTAATTGCCACCAGAAAATAATGAATGGCTCAAGATTTTCTTAAAATTTTGTTTCAGGAAGGAGAAAACATTTTCTACTTGGCAGTTGAAGATATAGAAACAGATACAGAGCTTTTGATTGGTTACTTGGACAGTGATATGGAGGCCAATGAGGATGACCAGCAGATTATAACGGTGGTCAAAGGAGAAGTTGAAAATTCTAAAGGACAGTCATCAGCTAACAGAAAAGGTATTGCATCTTTAATTGGTGATCTGAGAGGAAAAAAGTGGAAGAAATATACTTTGAACTGTTTGTATTATGTTGCATTATAATAGGGTGGAATCAAAATAGGGTTTTTGTCAAAACTACTCTTGAGGTTATCTACCTGTATGCTCATCTTCTTAATAGTAGGAAGAGTATGTTGGAAGTAGGTGACAGATGCATCCTATTAGGATGACCAAGGTCAAGGGCTGGGATGCATTCTTAGGGTGACAAGGTCAGAATGTTTGTGAACCTCCTAAATTCCTATTTAAATTCCTCACAAGTAGTGAGGATTTTCATACTCTTGCCCTGGTTCTATCGCTAATCAGTCTTGAAACACTGGGCAAATCATTAACTGTGAGTGTACTTTTTAAAAAATCTATGTATGGGAAAAGGAGAGTGTAGAGGTGAGATGTTGAGAAGGATACGGCTGGATCCTAGAGGACTGATTCCTGGCTTTGATCTTGGTTGAGATCCTTTGGAATCCAGAACTTCTCAAATCATTGCTAGTTTGTCCTACTTCGGTGACCAAAAACTTGTGATGACAATAGATCACACCTATTTAATTCACTTCTGCAGTCTAGGAGATAGATGTTACTTATCAGTCTCTGTGGAATAATCAATTATTATTGGACTTTATTTCTATTTTATTATTCTTTACTCTTGAAGGACATTTAAGGGAAATACAGATGATGTTATATAGATAATCACATTTTGTAACAGGTTGGGTTTTAGTCCATTTAGACTGAACTGAGAAAATTATATAATAAAAACCACCCCAGAAATTTATTGCTTATAGTTCTAGGGCCTGGGATGTCCAAGATGAGGCACTACACATTTATGAATATGCCTCAGAGCCTGTTCCTCTTAGGTGGCACTTTCTTGCTGTTTCCTGACATGATAGGCACAGATTGAAAGACAGAAGATATAACAAACTCCCTTGTTCATCTTTCTAGGGCAGTAATTCCATTCTTGATGGCAGAGGCCTCATGACCTAATTACCACCAAAAAGTCAAACTTCTTGATATTGTCCCATTGGGAGTGAGGTTTCTTTCACAAACATTCCGGCCACAGCAGACTGATTCTCACTGTATGGTGTTTTTCTATTTTGTGGAGCAAAGCCAGTTCAGAAATGATGCGGTTTCATTAGTTGCAGTGGTAGTAATGCTCTTCATAGGCATTTTCTGTTCTAGTTATATGCCATTGGCTAGAAAGTATGAGTGTTCTCTTCCCATTGTCAGCTTATGCTTCTGTTTCTTTATTTTAGTTGGATTATTTAAGAGGAAGAGGAGGACAGGCCTAGTCTATTCTGTTTTTTAAATAAACATTATGCTCTTTAGAATATCAGATTTGGGGTGATGGGAGTTATTTCTGCATTATTATGGATTTTTAAAATTTACTTTTTTCTTCTTTGCAGCTAGGGCTTGCTTGTTACTATTATGTCCATTATTTTAATTTAAAAATAAGTTTTCCTACTTACCTTTTAATTCCCTGGTATCTGCTTTCATTACCAAAATTCTAATTTTCATTATCTATGAGTAGAAACTTTAAAAAGATGTCCATAAATGTAAGAAGCAGGTACTTGTTTGGGTGTTATTTTTATTTTAGAATTCTTAGTAACTCATTTATTTATAAAAGCAGAGAAACAAAACCCCAGCAAAAGAAAAAAGAAGACACTCAACTACATGGCAGTGGAGAGTTTGATTAAATAAATTGTGTTTCCTGAAGGTTAATTTTTTTTTAATTTAAGAAGATGTTAAATGAAAAAAAAGAGCAATATGTAAAATTGCACATAAAGCGGGATCATAAATGCAGCTAGTCCTAGAGTGTGCTTAAAATATGTTTGCATAAAAGATAAGTCAGGCTTGGAAATGTATTACAGTAGTTGTCTCTTCAGGTTGAGATTATTGGAGATTTTTATTTGCTTCATATTTTGTACTTCAAGTTTATTTGATGATCAGGAAAAATACGTAATTTAAGTACCATATGAGAGGTTTGGGCAGAGTTCTGTCAATCCATTTAGGACAGTGGCCTCACTGACTACACTTGCTATAATCAGCATTGTTTTATGACTTGTGGCCTTTTTTCAAATATGTGCGAGATTCCCCTTGCTAATTCAAGGTGGCGATTTCTCCTAGTAAAGCAAGAAGTGAACTAATGACGATCCATTTCAGGAAGAAGTTTTGTTTTGCAATTCAGTTGTTGTGTTACAACTTTTGATCTGAAAAGTTAAAATTATAGGGTAAATTAAAAACTGAAATTGATTTTTACTAATTTGGTGAAGCACTAGTAAAATGATTTAAAAAATAATGAATTTCTCTCTAGTAACATTTCCTGTTTTATTTTGTGGCCAACACTTAATATTTGTAGAGATAATAAGAGTTTGATATATTAAACACAACCAGTTTGATTTTAAAATGAGGGCAGGGGAGTAGTTCCTGGCTTTGAAGTTTCATCTTATAAATAGGCTTCCTTATCAATGTGCAGATCACCTTGGCTGTGAAGATGAGTATGCCTGTCCCCAGTGTGAATCCAGTTTTACCAGTGAGGAAATTCTTGCTGAGCATCTTCAGACATTACATCAGAAGCCCACAGGGGAGAAAGAGTTTAAGTGCAAGAACTGCGGGAAGAAATTCCCAGTTAAGCAGGCTTTGCAAAGACAGTGCGTATATCCAAGCATACCTTTAAAATTACAGGCTAACACTTAATTATTCCATTTGGCTTGATTCATAGTTGTGTGTGTGGGGTGGGGGAGAATAGGCATTCTTCATTCATATTAACTCATCTTGTTTTGAGTATAGAATGCTGATTTTTGAAAAATTCTGATCATGAAGTTTATAGGTAAATCTTTGTTTAATAACTTGGCTCTAAAGATCAATTTGAAATTGATAAATACTAATCTGACCTTGAGATGCATGAATTAGCCAGTACTTTGAGGTGACAGATCAAGTTTCAGATATCTTTATTTGATTTTGGCTCAGGAATCAATCAAAGAAAAAATTAAGAAATGGAGATCAGAGTAGGAATAATACATGGACATTTTCAGAAGCACAGAAATTTTGGAGGAATAATATAAAGATGACTAGGTATGACAGTATGATGAATTAAATGATGCCATACACCGCTCTGAGCTACTTTATTATTTTAATAAGCTATATTAATAACAATTCATTACATAACAATTTATAGTAAGATATTTTACTTAATTATTTTATAGGTTCATGAATTATTAAAAGTGAGACAGTAAATACAGATATTACAAACTTTTATATTTAACAGGTTGTCACCTTACATATGAGTAAGAAATCTTTAACAAATTTTTTGTTCTTTTTTTGTTTCCATTTATTATATATATCAGCTTTTGCTGCTTATAATTTGAGAGTAAAAATTCCTATTTTAATAAACATTTAAAAATTTGAAACTTTTATAATAATAGTGATTAAACACCTGGAAATTCAATTAGTTTCTTTCTTTCTTTCTTTTTTTTTTTTAAATAAAAGCCAAACAAGGGCTATATATTTTTTAGTAAACAGACTTTAAGACAGCATTTTAGTTGGCTTTTGTTGCATTTGGCATTGAATATTCTACATGAAAGATACCCTTGCTGAGCTGGAGCTTATAGTTAAATAAGGTACTATTGAAATTTAATAAGGCATAAGCGGGATTGTGAACATGACTTTATTTGAAGTTGGCATATTCTCATATGTTTTGTCTTAGAGTTCTGGTTTTTGTTTTTCTCCCCTCTCCCTCTCCTTTCCTTTCAGTGTCTTCAGTGCACAGCAAAACACAGTCAGAAGGATTCTTCACGAAGTTTTCAGTGTTCTCTTTGCAGTTCTTCCTTCAGTTCAACATTGAGGTTTTGTGTCTAAGTTATGATGACTGTTATATAATCGTGGGTCATTTTTTGCATGCACAATTTCATACTTCTTAGTGATTCAGCATTATACTAATGAAAGAATTTAAATGCTTTCTTTCTTACCTCCACAGGTAATGCATGAAATGACCCTGAAACTCTTGTAGGGAGCATGTCCTAGGGAGCATGTATCAAAAAAACCTGCTGTGATGTTTGAATCTTGTAGGTATGTCTTTTCCATTTCTTTTTCCCGACGCCCTTTGCTGCTTGTCTTGTAGTTTTGAGCAGCACCAGGAAATTTGCCGGGGGGATGCCAGATTCGTGTGTAAGGCTGACAGCTGTGGGAAGAGGCTGAAGAGCAAGGATGCCCTGAAAAGACACCAGGAAAATGTCCACTCTGGTGAGTCATTAGAAGGTCATTTTTAATGGGGCTTCCTCTTCCCAGGCCACAGTGATCTGTTTTTAGTTCTCACTCTTGAGGAGATGCTGGTCTGACTCCTCCTTGTGCTTCATACAGATGCAGAATTTTTTCTTTCCCTGAACACTGTTTTTCAAGTTGATTTCAGCAGCAGTTGTCATTTTCTCCTTTTAGAGTAAATCATAATTGTATACCTAAGCAGATTTAGTTGTCCTCAATATTCAGATACATGAAGAATTATTATTTTTTGATAATTTTCATGTTTTAGTATATGAAATTTCTTACATAAATTGTTGAAATTGATAACCGAAACTATTAAATGATGTACTTTGGCCTTAATATTTTTACAGTACAATTCAATTTTTTAATGCTTGCGTTTCTTTTATATTAGAGAAAATTCCTAACTGTATTTTGACACTGAATTGAACACATTTGGATTAATAAAGCAAATAGTATTTGAATTTCTTCTAATTGCTGACCAAACAACAAAACACATATAAAAGTTTGTTTGGTCACTTAGATTTTATCTTCTTAGCACTTTGTAGGCAGTCAATAGATGTATTTTGGTTTGAGAATGACTCTGTTGCACTGAGTTGAACCAGTAGTTGTTTTGTCATAGGGTAACTTCTTACTTCCTCTGTGTCTTTTCCTTAAAGGTGTTCATGGAACTCCATATGTCCTTCATACATACACATTTCTCATTTCAAAATCACATTTGATTCTGCTCTTTGCTTCTGGGAAGTGGGTAAAAATGTGTCTGTAGATATGGAGGAAAGTGGACTTGTTTCTCTTTTCTATTTATTCTCACACATTAAAAGAGTGGTGATACCCAGTGTCTACACCCTAGGCTTGCTTCTTGTCCACAAAGAATTGACTTTCATAATGAAGCATAAGGCTATAGAGGCTGTCAGAGTATGGCTGCTGCTCCACCTGGGCATCATTGGTGTGGGCTCCACATGAAGTGTGAGCTATGCATAAAAGTTCTGGGTGGTGGAAGGAAGAATTTTACATGTTCAGGTTGGTTTCCATCAGTAGGACTTTACAGTGTTCTGTTTTTCTTTTTGAAGAACATATGGCTGATACATAGAAAATAGCATTTTTCTAAATTGAAAGTATGCTGGGGCCTTCCCTATGATTGTAAAAGGCAAGCATAACTTTTTGATAGACTTCATTGTTTTTGAAAAAAATGGTGTTCTGGTTAAAATGCTGTTCTTAATTTTCTCCATTTTTGTCTGCAATGTCAATGTAACAAAACTTTCATGTCAGTTTTAAAGTCAGCTTTGCTGAACTAAGTAAAACACCAGATGTATCCTGCAAGTCTGGAAACATTTTCATTCTTGTTACTGGGCACGTGGTCCTCACACTGAGCTTTAAGTGTAAGAGGCGTCTTATAATTGGCCTTGGACACTACGATATTGTAGAATTTGGAAATGCATGGTGATTTTGTAGGAAATAATACATAAGCAAAAATTTTGTTTTATTATTATTTTTTCTGTGTTGTGGGACTATAAAATGTGAAATCTCGCTGTATTTTAGCTAAGGGCCAGTGTGCATACCTTTTGCTGGGTTTGGTCCATGATTTCAGTTTTTCATTTATAGTCTGTGTCTTGCCTCTCTCCTTTTCTCTGTGTCCTACAGATTTTGGGGAGAAAATATTCCATGGTAAGAATAACAAGGAAAGCAGTATTCAAATAGATGACTATAGAATTCTGTAGTATAGCAAGTCAAAGGTATTCAAGAAATAGGAGATCTCGCAGTTCCTACTTATGGTGGCAGATTTCCTTGGTAGGTGATATAAATTGAAGAAGCTGAGAGAAGAGAAACTGAGAACTTAAACATGGGTTACATTTTTTTTTGCATAGAAAACATAACATGATGGGTGGGTTCTTAGACTAGCTCCTAAAAGCATACTTACTCCACAATGTGTAGTTACTCAAATTCTTTATTAATTGTGTGTCCCGTATGATTGTGTGCGTTCCTTTTACCTACTGATTATTTGTTCCTGTTTTTTTTTTTTTTAGTGGGGGGTTGGGTGGTGGTGCTGAGGGTGGCACTTAGGGCCTCACATATGCTTGGCAAGTACTATACCACTGATCTGTATTTCTAGTCCTGCTGAATATTTTTAAAAATTGAATGTGACAGTCAAATACTAGCTTTACCTGCATATTGGAAAACCAAAATTTTGGTTTTGGCTTTGGGTACATGCTGTTGTTCTTGAACCTAACAAAGCGGGTAGAGTGGTGAGAACCTTCATGGTTACCCCAGAGGAAATGAAGGTACTGAGTTCCTCAACCCACTTCCCATCTCTCACTTTTGCTTAGATCCTGTAGGTACTAACAAAGATGTATCTGTGAGAGAGAACATTTATCTGTATTCTCAGATGAATGAAACACAGAATGAAATTTTTTCTGTGTTTCTTTTCAAAGGAAATAAGATTCTAGTTCTAGAGTGAAGAAGAAAAGAAGATGTGAGGAGAAGAGAAAAGATTGGAGAGTAGGGATGGGAGTTTGGTGTATAGCCTGTAGTACTGGCTGGAAGGGTAGTGGTAGGAGTAGAAGGGTAAAGTGAGAGCAGTGGTTGGAGACATGGATTTTCTCCTCTTTTCCTCCTCTGACTATTGGGGAAGCTAGGGCCTAGTCTTAAGAAACAGCTGCTGTGAGGGGTGGGATAGGGCAGATGGGTAGAAGATGGGCAGTCCCAACAAATGGGACATGAAAAAGGGGGAATATTATTTCTTATTGGCCCTCATGTATTACGTACACACACACGTTGGTGAACAAATGCATGCAGTCAGGTATTTATTTGAGAAAGTAGCTCCTTTAGCAGCCATTTTACTTGTTAAACATCAAGAAAATTTTCATAGTTGTATTATGTAGCATGATAGAACGAGTTAAATGATGTGCTCTTTCCTTGAATATCTTAGTAACTTGAAAAGAAAAATGAAAATTCACATTTTTCTTTTTCTAAAGTATGTTTCCTTTTCCTAAGCACAGTCCTAAATAAGATAAAGTCATATTGTAATATTGGTTTTACTTGCTTTGGATTTGCTTCAGAGTGGTAGAGAAGTGGGAGAACATATATGGTTGAGGTTGGGGCAGGAATGGTTGAAGATTAGTCATTGTTAGTATCTGGTGGTGGGTATCCAGTGGTTGGTAGTGCTTTCTGTGTATTTGAAATCAATCAGTTAAAAGGGGAGAAGTTATTCTGTGGTTATTTATGATGGTGCAGATGACATTGTTGCATAACATGTAAAAAGCTGTTTTGAGTCTTTTCTGATTCCACTGTAAAGTTTCAGACATCAAATGAACTATGAATAAAATTATTTTTCAAGATGAAAAAATTGGGTTTTATTTTGATTTGTATAATAGTACGAGTTGCCAATGTCACGTTTTATTATGCTTGATTTTATTTCTTGACATAGTTTGATAAAGCATGTGCTCATAGATTCTATGTGGGAAGGAATAATTTATGAGTTCCATCTTATAAAATGTATCTGATGAAATAAAATGTTTTGTTGGAATAGAAAAAGAAATGTAAAAATAAATTTGTGAATTAACAAATGCAGGTTTTTTCTTTTATAAACACATTTGGTTAATTTTTATTTCATTTATTATGAAAATAGGTGCTTCTCTCTCTCTCTTTCTTTCTGGTGGGACTGGGGTTTGGGCTGTATCCTTGCAAAGCAGGGGCTCTACTGCTGCTGTGTTTATTTCGGAGATTGAGTTTTGTGAACTATATGCTTGGCCTGGGCTCTAACCACGGTCCTCCTGATCTCAGCCTCCCAAGTAACTAGGATTACAGATGTGAACCACTGATGCCTGGCTTGTGCTTTTCTCCTTTATTACTATGTTAGTACATGGGAAAGTGAAAAGCCAATTTTATATATGTAGAAAGTGGTATATCATGCTGATCATATTTAAAATACAACCTTCTCTTTATCTGAGTTTAATGGATTTATTCATAACACTGAACAGTATAGAATTCTAAATTAGGAAATTGGAATTGCATATCATATGAAAATACTAATTTTTGAGATTTCATTTCTGTTTTAGGAGATCCTAAGAAAAAGCTCATATGTTCAGTGTGCAATAAAAAGTGTTCTTCAGCATCAAGCCTGCAGGAACATAGAAAGGTCAGTAAGATGGAGACTAACTTTCATCATAATATAGGGTCTTTTAGCTTTTATAGTGTTTGCCATGTTTTTTATATTGTTAAGCTACAGCCTTGTCCTTAAGTGATAACATAGCCTACAGTGCAAAACCAATATGCAAAAAAGTGAACCGCAGAAGGGTATTTCGAGTTGTTATTTGAAATACCCCTTCAATGCCCAGTGTCATGTCCAGCTGAATCCTTCACTTAAAATATCCCTCCTTATTCTCAGGCTTTGACAGGAAATATGGATAAATGAGAAAAACATACATTTTTGTATATTTATAATGTTCTGGGAAGTGGCCTTTGGGAAATAAATAAAAGTATATTTTAGTTTAATCTGACACAACAGAGACAATAGTGCACTATTTTCAAAGGCAAAAAATAATGTAATAATATTATGAATTGTTAATATGTTTTATTGAGGTTGATTTTACCTTTCTTAGTTATTTTTTGGATGTGGCCTTCCCCCTTCCGAGACCAGCTTTGGACCATGATCCTTTTACAGTTTCTGTGTATCTGGGACCGTAATCAAGCACCTCCATGTTAAGATGGGGTGGATCTTGCTCATTTTTTGCCTAGACTGGCCTTACACTGTAATCCTCCCAATCTCTGTCTTCCATGTTGCTGGGATTACAGACACATACCACCATGCCTGGTTTACTTTATTCTGTTTTTATAAACATTAATGTAATAAAGCATCCACTCACAGGTTTGTATGTCCAAGTTTTGCTAGTAGAAATAGTGATTATATTAGGAGAAAATAAATTTAATGTTTTAAATTTATAAAAAAATGACAAGTTGTTATTTTGATGTGAAAAAAATCTGAAAAATAAATAGGAACTATTAACTCTGTCAACATTAGCAATGAGTTAATAGAATTTATTTATTTACATTTATCTTTTTTTGATGGGACTGGGGTTTGAACTGAGGACTTTCTGCTTGAGTTACTAAAACTTATAAGACAGAGCTAGAATAGAATTTCGGTTTTTGACAAAGTTCAATTATTTCCTAATTTCACATACTGTTTTTTTAGAATATCTAGGAATATTAAAAAATTTTAATGCTGATACCTAAGAGAAGGGGAGGTGGTACTATTGAAAGTAAAACTTGACTTTTGTTGTGCTTTGTAAAATGAATTTTATCTTTGAATGTAGGTAGATAGACTACAGAGTCATTTGACAGGATTTTAAAGTTCATATGAATTTTACTCCAGTAGCTCCCACCATGTATGTGGATTTATCATGTGATATATGAGATAATAACATTATTTGCTGTATAGTGGTGATTTTGATCCTTTTAGGGAAAAATAATGAAATAAGCCCTGGACCGGGAATGAAAACCTGGTTTCCCCGATCTTGGCCAGCAGTCCTTCATTTAACAGTTTGCCTGTTTTCTCATTTCTGAAATGGACACTGAACTGATTAGAATTTTTTGTTTGTTTATTCTCTTAGTGACATGAAATTACTACCCCTCCCCTCTTCAATTTCTAAGCGGCATTTTATTATTAATTGAAAACGTGAAGCGTCTCGTGAATTTGTGTGTCGTTCCTGTGCAAGTGCCACGTTAATCTTCTCAGTAGCATACAGACTTTAGTGTATGTGCTGAAATTACTTTAAAAGAATTTTGCACAGAATGCTGGTATAGGTCCTTCATTTTTTATGTCTCTTTTCCTTCCTCCCCCTCACTTTTATGGCTTGGGGAACAGAACCTTAGTAGTGACAAATGATTAAACCTGTTGGAATGCTTATTTTTAAAAACATTCTCTTCATAATTCTATTTAAATCTTTGAGGTTGAAAGTTAACATATTTTGCCAAATAAGAATATTTTAGCAAAGTTGGTTAGGGAGCATATTTCTGAATAATGTCCTTTTTTCCATTTAGTGGAAATATAGAACTTTTTTCCCCTTAAGAAGTATCTTTAAGGGGAATACAAGAGCTACAGCTATGTCTTCAGGTTATTAACATGTGCAAAATGTTAATAAATTCTTAGCTAAATATAGCCTTTCTTCCACTGTACGATAACCTCTCAAACTTAGCTTTTCTGAATACATACGCAGTTTTTTTTTTTCCCACTCCAGTTTTGACTGTTATTTTAGTTGGGAAGTCTAAATGTCTAATAGAGTGTAGTTGCAGTATTTTACATTGCTATTAGATAGTACTTTGTAGCAATACTAAATTGCAGAATTGTATTTTATATTACCACTTACTATCCTCTATTGCAATAAGATACTTTATAATCTTTATTGAGAATTATTTGTTTTGCGATTTCAAATGTTACAATACTACCTTTCAAATCAATATGGAAAACTGGAAATTTTGCAAAGTACTTGTTTTTAGCATTAGGTATATTAAATAGTATTACCTATCATTTTCACTTTAAATCTTATTTTCTATTAAGACTCCTTAGGAGTTTTGAAGGTGGCTTTTGCCTGAATTTTCCTCTATAAATAAGATATCTAATACAAAAAATGCTTTCATGTACAATAAATTTTGCCTTTTATAATTTCAGTAATAATACCAATTCAACTTTGAAATGTTTTATTTCAGAAATTGTTAGGAAGTAAATGAGTATTCTGCAATATTGTTTGATGGTTACCATTTTGTGAATGGATAAATATTTTTAAATATTTTATATATAAACATTTAATATTAAAAATGAAAATAAAGCTTTTATTTCTACATGCCTCAGAAGATTTATCATTTTAGAGTAACTTATTATCATTATAAAATTATATGTATTATGCAGTATACATACAGGGTTTAAGAATATAAATGTGCTATAATACCTTTAATAAACATTAAACATGTATAATTGCTCCTTAAACATCAGTGCTCAGCTGAAGCGACTGGGTAGACCTTTGATGGATGAAGCTGCCTTTCTCTTGCCTTGGCCTGGGCAGTTTTTCTTCTGTGCTCTGTGGCACTTGAATTCTAAGTGCTGGTATAGGTGGTTGTGCAGACTTCACACTGCTTTCTGCGCAACCAGGGGATTATGGACTTAATAACCAATGCATCTCAGAAAGGGAGCTGTGAGACTCTAGTGAATGACATCTTTAGATGCTGCTAAATTCCTTCCTTGATTTTCACAGGTGAGTTTTTTGCTCACCCAGAGTCAGACCTGATAGACGCAAAGGAGGGTTGTCAACTTTATATCTGCCATGTACTTGGGTAGAGAATAAGACCAGGGCTGAAGGCTTCAGATAGATTAGCCTTGCTTCTCTTCTCTTCCAGCCTTACCCCCACTTTCTGCCCAACTTGCCATGGCTACTTTGATGAAGGGAACCATTCGGGGATCACTCAATTCTCCACTCATTACTGTGTACTGTACCAGGTCAGGGTCTTGATCTTTCTGTGATGTCTGTAGTTACTCTGCAGGATAGCTACAATATTGGCTTCTTGGAGAAGGGGCTTTGCTTTTCTGTGGTATTGTGAGTTATACCTTTAATGAGGTTGAAACAAAAACTTGATTCCACCAAAACTGCTGTTCAGTCTTCAGCAAAATAGCATATTACTCTTGTTCAGTGGGGTGATCAGCAGTTCTGATAGAAGGCTTCATGCAATTCATTCCTTTTAGAACTCTTACCTTGTTCCTAATAATAAACTGTGCTTCTTCTAAACTGAAGAGAACACCCACAGAGTGGGAGAAAATATCTGCCAACTATACATCAGACAAAGGACTGATAACCAGAATATACAGGGAACTTAAAAAACTAAATCCTCCCAAAACTAATGAACCAATAAAGAAATGGGCACGTGAACTAAACAGAACTTTCTCAAAAGAAGAAATTCAAATGGCCAGAAAACACATGAAAAAATGCTCACCATCTCTAGCAATAAAGGAAATGCAAATTAAAACCACACTAAGATTCCACCTCACCCCTGTTAGAATAGCCATCATCAGCAACACCACCAACAACAGGTGTTGGCGAGGATGCGGGGAAAAAGGAACCCTCTTACACTGTTGGTGGGAATGTAGACTAGTACAACCACTCTGGAAAAAAATTTGGAGGCTACTTAAAAAGCTAGACATTGATCTACCATTTGATCCAGCAATACCACTCTTGGGGATATACCCAAAGACTGTTACTCCAGAGGCACCTGCACATCCATGTTTATTGCGGCACTATTCACAATAGCCAAGTTATGGAAACAGCCAAGATGCCCCACCACTGACGAATGGATTAAGAAAATGTGGTATCTATACACAATGGAATTTTATGCAGCCATGAAGAAGAACGAAATGTTATCATTCGCTGGTAAATGGATGGAATTGGAGAACATCATTCTGAGTGAGGTTAGCCTGGCCAAAAGACCAAAAATCGTATGTTCTCCCTCATATGTGGACATTAGATCAAGGGCAAACACAACAAGGGATTGGACTATGAGCACATGATAAAAGCGAGAGCACACAAGGGAGGGGTGAGGATAGGTAAGACACCTAAAAAACTAGCTAGCATTTGTTGCCCTTAACGCAGAGAAACTAAAGCAGATACCTTAAAGCAACTGAGGCCAATAGGAAAAGGGGAACAGGTACTAGAGAAAAGGTTAGATCAAAAAGAATTAACCTAGAAGGTAACACCCACGCACAGGAAATCAATGTGAGTCATTGCCCTGTATAGCTATCCTTATCTCAACCAGCAAAAACCCTTGTTCCTTCCTATTATTGCTTATACTCTCTCTACAACAAAATTAGAAATAAGGGCAAAATAGTTTCTGCTGGGTATTGAGGGGGGGGGAGAAGGAGGGGGCGGAGTGGGTGGTAAGGGAGGGGTGGGGGCAGGGGGGAGAAATGAACCAAGCCTTGTATGCACATATGAATAATAAAAGAAAAATGAAAAAAAAATAAACTGTGTTTCTACTTATTCAATTTCTCTGTAGAGTCGGGGAGGGAAAGAACTAATGTAATATTCAGTTGTATACTTTACATTAGCTAGTTGTCTGTTATATTTGTTATTGTTAAAATGTATTTTATTTGCTTATATTTAAGGTATACTACATGATGCTATGAGATACAGATATATAGTAAAATAGTTGTTACAGTGAACCAATTTAACATATAATCTCACATATTTACTTCTCCTGTTATGGCCAGAGCAGGGATAATCTACTCATTTAGTAAAAAGTCCTGAAGACAATGCAGTAGAATTGACTAAATTCCTCATGCTTTGTATTAGATGTTTATACACATCCATCCTACATGCTTGCTGCTTTATACCCTTTGATGTACTCCTCCCTATTTTTTTTTATTGTTTTCCTCCTATCATGAAACTTTTACCTTGAACTAAATACCTTCAAAATCATCTCTCTCTCCTTCACTGCAGTTATTATTTGGCTTTGTGTGACATATATTTAAATTTAAAGTATTGTTGGCTACTAAAAAAGGAATATTATTATCTACAGGTAATATATTTCTATGTCTAAATTTGTGTGTAACAAGAGTTAGGTATATCTTTTACTTTTTAGTTTACAGTTTAGTTACAGTAACTAAAAAATAGGTTAGCTATATTATACACTTAAGTAACACAAATGCTGTATTTTCTTTTAGTGATACTTTTACTAGATAATACATTCATTTCACTTTCAATTTTATAGGATAGCATGAATAAATTAGGGCTGAATAAGTACTTTGGACATTGTAGTGGCACCTATACTTATTTATGCTTTTACTTGATCTGTGCAATTTATTAGGTTTTAGCATTTTATTTAAACTGTCAATTTAATCTTTTGCAGATTCATGAGATATTTGATTGTCAAGAATGTATGAAGAAATTTATTTCAGCTAATCAGCTAAAACGTCATATGATTACTCACTCAGGTAACCTTATACTTGCTCATATATATTGAAATCACTTCTAGAAGTCAGAGTGTTTTTGAAAATCTGCATTATTTGGAGATAGATATAAGTGTTTCAGTAAATTAAAATCAGATCAAAAACTGTTGGCTTTCAGGTATGCTTTGTTTGTATCACACAGCATTTTAAAAATGTGCTTGTCAGCACTACATGAATGTTTTGTAAATATGGGTTTTATGTACCTGTCTAAATGTTTATTTCCTGCTGAGAATTGGAAGTTGGAAGTTTTGCTGTATGTGGCCTGTATTGGCCAGCAGGAGGTGGCTCTGTCTTTAACGCCATCACTGTCAGGCCTCTCAGCATTTAGGTCTGTGACCCTGATTTAAATTCATACATATCAGCACATTTTTCAACTGGAAATAGAATTTCTTCTTAAATTTTTTTTTTTTGTGTGTGTGTGGTACTACGGCTTGAACTCAGGACCTTCATCTTGAGCCACTCCACCTCCCCTATTTTTGTGAAGGGTTTTTTGAGATAGTGTCTCATGGAACTATTTGCCTGGGTTGGCTTCAAACTGAGATCCTCCTGATCTCTGTCTCCTGAGTAGCTATGGTTACTGGTGTGGCGCCTGGCTCTTCTTTGGATTTAAATTTTTTTTCTTTTTTTAGCAAAACTACCTTTAATTTTCAAAATAGGTCTGTAGAAGAACAAGCTTACATTCAGTTGTGAATATTCACGTATCGAACTCAGAGTGGTAGTTTTTTTGGGGGCTTTTATGATCATGCTTTAATTTGCTTATGCAAAAGAATTAATTTAAGGTAAGGATGTTTTCCTTTTTATCCTTTACCTTTATATAGATAAGGGATTGTCTCCACTCATTTTTCACAGAAAAACGACCTTATAATTGCGAGATCTGTAATAAATCTTTCAAGAGACTTGATCAAGTGGGTGCCCACAAAGTAATACACAGTGAAGATAAACCTTACAAGTGCAAGCTTTGTGGAAAGGGATTTGCTCACAGAAATGTTTACAAGAATCACAAGAAGGTAAAAGCTTATTAGTATTCTTTTTGTTACTAATTTGCTGATAGAATTTTTTTGTATCTGGGGTACTCCAGATACTGGAGAAGATCTTGCTTCCTCTTTGTAACTACTTGCTCTGACAATAACCCTGTTTGGTCTCTTCTGAATTCTATTTTCTGTTTAAACTGTTCTCAAAAGCAAAGTGTCATATTGAGCTGTTGAATCAATTCAACAGCTCTTGGCTTTTTCATCAATTTTTAGGGCCATGAGCTTGTACTAATTGTTAAGTACTAATTGTTCCTTCTTTTCATGTTCATGTTACTTTTCTGAAATTATCTTCATCGTTTTTGTCCTTGTAGTGTACTTTCCTGGGTCTTCTGCCAGTTTCCCTGAATACTTCTTTGGTTTCTGGATTAGTTAGCTTTCAGTCACTGTGACAATACCTGAAATAATCAATTTATGAGGAGGAAAGATTTTCTTTTGGCTCCCAGTTGAAGAGATTTTAGTCTATGGTTGGTATTTGGTTGACCCCTTTTTTTTTTTGTGGTAGTTGAAGTCAGAGCCTTGTGCTTGCTAGGCAAATGCTTCGCCACTTGAGCCACAACCTCAGTCCTTTTAGTTCTTTGCTTTCACTTGTTTTTTATACAGGATCTCATGCTTTTGCTCGGGCTGGCCTTGGACCACAATCCTTCTATCTATGTCTTCCGAGCAGATGGAGTTACAGGCATGCACCACCACACTGACTTGTTTTTGAAATAGGGTCTTGCTAATTTTTACCTGAACTGGCCTTGCACTGCAATTCTGTGTCTACCTCACCAGTAGCTGGAATTACAGGGGTGCACCACCTACCATCTCTGGCCTGGCTCCCCTGTTTTTGGGCCCAAGGTGAAGGTAAAACATCAAGGTGGGGAGCACATGGTAGAACAAAGATTCTGGGAGAGGGAGGGAGGGATGGTGAGGGGAAAGGGAGAGAATGAGAATTGATTGAAGACTGGCTTCTAATATTTCTTTCAACAGCATGCACCCAATAAATCTAACTTCTTCCACTAATGCTATCAGCTAGACAAGTGGATTTCCAGTGTTTATGTACATTATCATGTATACTCCTTTTCCTGTTACTCAGAGATCTCTAAACCATGACCTCAACCTCCAGCCTGTTCTTCTGTTATCTGCATCAGGCACACCTAAAACAACTCAACATATGCATTTTTCCTGCATCTTCGCTGACTTACCCTTTCTCTTGAAATTACAAATCTCTTTGTTTCTTCTGTTGAGTTTTGTTTACATTTCTTACACTTTTCCTTTACTCTAGTTCATTTTAGAATGTAATCCATTTTGTGTAGATAGTAAGTAGTATTTGAATTGAATCCAGAAAATATGTTAAAAATATTCAGTATTTTAGAAGTACATGTCAAAACACTTGTGATTTGACAATATACTTGCTTATTGGTTTTGTTCGATATGTTTTAATATGCTGTTAAATAAAACACAAATAAAAATATGTGTGTAAAATCCCTTAAAATAAATTGTTACTTTTTAAAAAAAAATTATAGTATTTCATGGCGATGGTAGTTACTTCAGTTTTTGTTGGGAATTTTCCAGAGACATCATTATCTTTTGAAATCATTAAATTTTGGTAACAATTTTAAATTTGTTCCAAGAAGATAAAGAAAAGGTAGATTTACCAAGGAATAAACAGGGTTGATTGATAGTGTTTCAAATCACCTCTGTGTAATTTCTGGCTTACTACCCTTATGTTTAACTCAAGCATTATATGTTCAGAGGCAGGTCTGTATTCATTACTGCTGCTTTGGAATTATATGACTATAAAAAAATTACCTGACCAGTTTCCTGTTCGGTCTCTATAACTCTCTTGCTCCTTTCTTTGATGAAACTGATCTACCCACATTTATGAGTTTTTCACAGTTCGGCTTGTGTTATATTCCATATGGGAATTTGGCATAGGATCTTTGCACCATCTCTCATACTTCTCAGTCATAAATCATATGAAAGTAATAATGATGTCTTGGGAAGGATGATGTCTGTAATTTCCAAAGTGGAAAGCACAATCAATCCTTCTGTTTTAGACAAACGTGTTTCCTACTGTGTTACGATCCTAGTGTATATATAGTATGGTTATGTGAAAATATATGAAATATTCTCCAAGAATCATACAAAAGTGGAATCAGCCTTCCATCATTATTCATTAATGGCTACTTAGGAAACTGCAAAATGAGGATATGCCAAGGAAATCAGAAATCTGATCTTCATGTAGCATGCCCAAGTGCTGTTATTTTAAGTAATTTTTTTGTTGCTTTTTGAGTATTAGCCTCTTTTATTTTTAGCTTTTAACATTTTTATTATACTTATTTGAAGTCACCTCTTCTCTTTAAAAAAGGAACATTATCAGTCATATTTTCTTAAAAAAGGTATATTATCACTTATGATTATGACAGAATATGGTGAAATTTTAGAGGAATGACTTCTATTTTTAGAACTTAGTTACTCATTTTATCATCTTGCCAGTTATAGAGGATCCATAGGTCAAAATTGGTTTTTCTGCTTCCTCATCCTTTCTGCAATTGCTAGGATCTGATTCTGAGTTGCATTTTATGTTCTAACTAAAATAAAAATCACTTATCTGGATCCAGTTATATTTTGATTATTTAAATCACAATTGGACAGATATTCAGAATCCAGGAAGTAGAACCTGATCAATTCATCATCATCCTCTATTTTGTTCCCTACCAAACTTCTGCCAAGCAAAATTTGAAGACGGTGTAGATATGGTGCATCCCTCCTGTAGGGTGTTTATTTATATTGACCAAACAATCTTGGCTTGTGGAGCTAGCTGTTTACTTGATGATAGAGATGAATACAGAGAAGTTTTGCCCTGAGGAAGTCATAGACAAGCTCCTTGGGGACAGTTGTCTATCTACGTAAATATAGGACCTTTTTTCATGGCCCTTTATATAGCCTTACAGGTTTGGAACTTCAGAAAACTATGTGGAAATGTAGCCACGACTTAAGAAAAATTGTATTGGGCTCTCACAGTAATGTCTCATTCATTCACATTCAAAGTATTCTAGGCCGTGAGCACTTTGTGGGATTTGAAGTCAATTCACTGGGTCATGAATAGCCATTAAAAATTAAAATAGAAAATGTAAGTCATTTAATGAAATAATGTGTGTAGTTGTGTGCGTGTATGTGTGCATGTGTGTGTGTGTGTGTGTGTGTGTGTGTGTGTGTGTGTGTGTGTATGTGTTAGATTTCAATGTAGAAAGTATTTCCTTGGTCATGGTCCAGCAATTTGAAAGACAATATAGTTTAGACTTTGCTTCTGTGCAGTTCTTTTAGACCTTAAAGAAAATTATGAATTTCTATCTTAAAAGATCATGAGTTAGGTTGTGAAACAAGATATAAATTTAACATGAAAAATATTCTTTTTTTTGGGTTTATTTCTTCATTTATTCATATGTGGATACATTGTTTGGGTCATCTCTCACCCCTTCCCCCCACCCCTCTCTCTGTTCCCCCTTCCCCCTCGCTTTAAGGCAGAACCTCTTTTGCCCTTTTCTCCAATTTTGTTGAAGAGAAGACATAAGCAATAATAAGAAAGACATAGTGTTTTTGCTTGTTTGAGATAAGGACAGCTATACAGAGATTACTAGCATTGCTTTCATGCACATGTGTATTACTACAGGAATTGATTCATCTCTACCAAACCTCTTCACTACTTCCCGGTCACCTTCCCATTTGAACTCTGTCAGTTCAAGATCACTATAGTAGCTCCTCTGCAGTGGGCATATCAAACACTTTCAAGTTTTGGGTTTCCTTCCTTTCCCTGTTCCTCTTATATGTGTTCTCCCCTTAGTGTGTGATGCATGTCCAATAATATTACTGCATTTGTTTTAGGTCTAAAGTCTGCATATGAGGGAGAACATACAATTTTTGGCCTTCTGAGCCTGGCTAACTTCACTTAAGATGATGTTCTCCGGTTCCATCCATTTACTTGTGAATGACAATATTTCATTCTTCTTCATGGCTGAGTAAAATTCCATTGTTTATAAATACCACATTTTCTTAATCCATTCATCAGTAGTGAGGCATCTTAGTTGTTTCCATAACTTGGCTATTGTGAATACCACTGCAATAAACATAGGTGTTCAGTTGCCTCTGGAGTAACCTGTGTCATATTCCTTTGGGTATATCCTTAAGGAGTGGGATTACTGGATCATATGGCAGATCTATGTTTAGTTTTTTAAGAAACCTCCATATTGTTTTCCAAAGTGGTTGTAGCAGCTTACATTCACACCAGTAGTATATGAGGGTTCCTTTTCCCCAGCATCCTCGCCAACATTTATTGTTGGTGGTATTTTTGATGATAGCTATTCTAATGGGGGTGATGTGGAATTTTAGTGTGGTTTTAATTTGCATTTCCTTTATGGCCAGAGATAGTGAGCATTTTTTCAAGTGTTTTTTTTTTTTTTTGCCATTTGGATTTTTTCCTTTGAAAAGGTTCTGTTTAGTTCAGTTGCCATTTCTTTATTGGTTCATTGATTTTTGGGGAGTTTAGTTTTTTTGAGCTCCCTGTATATTTTGGCTATCAGTCCTTTGTCTGATGTATAGCTGGCAAATATTTTCTTACACTCTGTGGGTGGTCTTTTCAGTTTAGAGACTATTTCTTTTGTCGTGCAGAAGCTTTTTAATTTCATGTACTCCTTTTGTCCATCCTTTCTCTTAGTTGCTGAGCTGCTGGGGTTCTATTGAGGAAGTTCTTGCCTGTACCTATTGCTTCTAGAGTATTCCCTGCTCTTTTCTATACTAGGTTTAGAGTTTGGGGTCTGATATTAAGGTCCTTGATCCATTTTGAGTTGATATTAGTACAGGGTGATTGATATGGATCTAGTTTCAGTTTTCTTCAGGCAGATAACCACATTTTTCAGTAACATTTGTTGAAGAGGCTTTTTTCCATCGTATGTTTTTGGTGTCATGTCAAAAATAAGGTGGGCATAGCTGTGCGG